GATGGCCCCTGCCCCCTCTGTTCTAGCACAGGGTAAGTCTGGCAGGGGTGCTCCACTCCTGCCAGGCAGACCAGGCTTTGTCCCCAGCCAGCTTTCCCACCCCCACTTCCTTGTCCGGCAGCCCTCACTGCTCTGGCTACAGAGCAGAGGCACAGGGCCAACCCTGCTCTGCTCAAGCAGACAGCATAGCCCAGCCCAGGGCTGCAAAGCATCCTGGGATGCTGAGGGACTGTGATTTAACTTGAACCAGGAAGGGGTCTGGGGCAGAAGTTCCATAAACCAGTTTGACCTAAATCAGTTAAGTCTGATACTACATTCAAGCAGGTTTATCTTAAGCCAGTTTCAGCCATTTCAAAACTGGTGTATGTGTACTGAACTTATGTTTTGTTCCAGGTTTAAACCGGTTTCTGATCACTTAAATTGGTTTTTGTGTAACTTCTGTCCATAGCCTAAAAGAAGTTAATTTCAGAGGTGCTTAGACACCTAGAATTCCCTCTTATTTAAATTGAACCTATGAAAATGTGGGTGCAATAACAATTCTGTTTTTGCTCCAGTATTTGAAAAAAAAATTGTGATGATTATATTGACAAAGATGTTCTGGTGATTAATGGGTTTGTCAATACAGCTATGCAATTGATTTCATTTGTCTGACCAAACTGAAAACCATAAAATTACTTTTGTTTTAGGTTGACTGAAACATTTCATTTGGGCCAAAATTTACAGGGATTTTAATTTAAAAGTACGTGATCTTTAAAGCTAATTTGATCTTGAAGTATTGTGAAATAAAAAAATGAAATATTTTTACCTTAACTGTTTTGTTTTGACTCTTAGAGGAACAGTATAGAATTTGCTTCCCCCTCATTTCAAACTCTAAGTTTGCTTGGCGTAGGAAATATCTTCTTGTTTGATATGTGTACAGCCCCAAGTACAGAGGGGACTCTAGGTATCACCACAAAAAACCACAACTAATAATTTTAATTCCACAGACTTAGAAGGGAAGTCCGCTAGTCCTAGTGCAATTTCTGAAAGCTAAAATTTTAGACAATAAATGTGATATGAGTCTCAACTCCTTGTTACAGCATATCACTAGGTCAAGTTTTTGCGTTAAAGTATAAAGATTTGAAAGTCCTTCCTAGCCAATGAAATCTTATCCTCCTCAGGAATGGAGGATTCATGTCCATCACACAGTATGTATATTTGCAGTGAGCTGAAGATATTTTTATAGGTTGACCTGAAATCAAATTAAAATGGGAGAGATTTTCTTAGGAGATTGTTAACTAGAATTTTGCGTTGCTGAAATCAGTGAAGCTGCACCAGTTTCCAGCAGCCAAAGATCTTGTCCCTTCTTTCTAGGTTACCAGGACTGGCTCCAGAAACAACACTCATTTTAGCTGACTCTTTCAAAAGTTTCTTGATAATATTGTGCAAACTTCTGTGGAAGCTGGCCATTATGTCTAACATAACCATGTCATTTGGCACATTTGACGTACACTGCCTCTAGGATTGCTGAATTTTCAGTTTCTTGTTAGATTTCATTGTTTTTAGGGGTTAGAAATCAATCTGGCAGACCAAAAGAAATGCAATACTTTTTTGTATAACTTAGCATTTCTCTCAATAGCCAGCTGAGGTTTTGTAATGCAGTGTTTCACTTTCTCATTCACTCTTTCCCCTTAGAAATTTAGCTGACATTTAGTGTGCAAGTTGTTCAATGCAGCTTTCATATGATAAGAGTCTTTTAAAACTGAGTTAAATATAGTGCCTACCCCATAGAAAATCAATTGTATTCAGCTACATTTAAGTAAGAGCTTATTGTACATATTTGCTTGGGGTGCTTATAAATTTCCCACACAACAAAAGGATTTTATAATAGAGGTCAGCTATAGATCTGACCTCACAAAAATATTGCCAAATCTGAAGCACCATTAATTTATTGTACAGTAAACTGCTTAGCTAACTACTTGTATACATTAGGTTTGCCAAGTGGAAGAAAAATTCTAGAATGCAGAGCATGTTAATTTACAAAAACAGGAGAACATTTAAATTTGTACACGGACGGCTACAGTCAGCTTGGCTGATGAAAATGCATATACCTTGGTCTCCAAACTCCATTTCTTCATTTGCTTGCACTCAGTCCTTCCATATGTGAGGGCTGTTTTAGTGGGTTAGATATCTAATCTTAACTGATCTAAATGTAAGCTAGAAATAGTAACTAGGCATTACAAACATGAAGTTATTCTATTAATGTACTATCCAGAAGTTCCCAAATACGACAGACCTGCCAGTTATTAACACCTGAAGAATTCTTACTGCTTGAATCTACCTTTCTCTCATCACCATTCTTATCAAGAAATATATCCCAATATTCCTGTTTGCACAACCCTGCAGCATTTTTCTCTGCTATTGCTGCAGTAGTAAATAGCCAGCAGAGGGAGCACTAATTAATTAACAGATTGGATTCCCAAAATTAAACTGATATATTATATGAGCACATTAGTGATGCTCATTGTGTTGGAGAAGTAAATAACAAATGAGTGTTGTGTTTGTCTTCACTGAGGAGCAATAAAAAAGTGTCTGAACACTTATCTTGGTCTACAAAGAGTATTGTAAATAAAGCTGGGCAAATTATCGAACTCAAACCAGAGAAGCACTCGGTTTGATTTCAAACTGCAAAACAGCAATTATTTGTCACAAGTTACAAGCCCTGCTAACTGTTCCCAATAGCTCCTTGCAACTGAATACTGCAGAAAGCTTCGTGCTGTTGTTTACAGTTACTTTTGAATCCAATTCATTTACATGGATAGCGTAGCTCTATTTCTGAATCATTGTGATTGGGATGGGCATCTCAGGAAGTATTTTTCTCTTGATTTCTCAGAGAATTAAGCTATGTTTCAGTTCTTTGAAGCAGCATGGAGAAGGAGCTGTGCACAGAACTGGTCACCTCCAAACCCAGCTAGTTCTGTAAGATCTCTTGGAGGTGCTGTTTAAAAGGCAGTCTTAAAAACCCAGCAAAACAGGTACCAGTCAGGAAGGTGATGCTGTGAAGATTGTGAAATTTTAATTGTTTGTATTTATTTATTTGTTCTGTTGCTTTCCGTGATGTCACATGCATTAACCAGGATACCTAAGCATTTCTGCTTACAACGTCCCTTTCAATAATAGAACTGTCTGATAAGATTACATTACACTTTTTTGACACCCAACTGACTGCTTAGAACAATGGTGCTTAACCTCCAGCTTGCAGGCCAAATCCAGCCATATCATCCAGCCTGTGGGTCTCCCCATAAGTCTAAAAATTTGGTTCCTTGGGAGTAGTGACACTGGCAGTTGTGGCTTCCCTGCTGATAAATGTCTGGACCTGTGGGGAGTCCCACAAACCAGATGATGTGGTCCTTTGCACTAGATCAGGCCAGCACATGGGGTCACTTCATGGCCAGATCTGTGGTTAGGCCAGCACCTAGGTCCAGATCCAACTCATGGGACCAAGTTGGCACACTGGATTGCATCCATGGACCAACCCTACACAGGATCCAGTCTGCAGACCAGCCCTATGCCACTTCTCCAACCTAAACAGCCACAGGGTTGAGCATCACTGGTTTAGAAGATTTTGAGAAGCAGTTTCATCCAGACCAGCTACTTGTCCCAGAGAGAGAACATGGAGGGGCACAGATTCTTCTGAACCACAAGCTATGTCATACAGTGTAAAATGTGGTACATAATACCTAGGTCAGTGCCCCTCTTTGTTAATGACAAGGCATATAAGTTGCTGACCAGCTTTCTATTCTCATGCAGAAAGATGCTCAAAGCTGGTGGCAGATGCAGCTCTTTGATGATGACTGATGCCACAATGTATGTTATTCTTATTCTAAGGCTGTTCCAGATGAAAACAATGCAGGCAGTAGTTTTCAGTGACTGCCACTAGCAGTAACAGTAAAACAGTTCTCCTCCTTATGTTCTAATGAGCAAGTGACGTGGTATGCCACCCGCTGCTGCTGACATGCTCCAAACACAGAAGTACAATGAGGTCCCTTAAGGGTTGTCCTCAGCAGCTTACTTTCAAATCCACTAGAGACTGAGGACTTGAGAGGAGGCAAGAGGGATTCCTAGAGAGTCTTCATTTGCTGACTTGGGGTATGTTGGTGGGAGTGAGTGGGTAGGGTGCTCGGGACTGGCTGACTGCAGCATCAAGCTGCCACTGCATTACAAATATGTACTTAGAGCTTTAAAAACCCTCCCTGCTATTTATCTTTTAGACAATTGGAAAACAAAAATGTATTTATCATATGATAGAGAAATATATGAAAGAAAAACTAAGGCTTATAACCCTGAATTAATATTGGCATTGGCAACTCTGGTCTGTTCTACTGTCCCCCTGGCAGTGGCTATCTTGCAGTAGTGAGACCTTATCACTTGCAATTCAGGGAGACCTTTGCCAGGAGTACCAGTGGTCCGCTATGCCATTTCGTAAGACAAATCTGACTTCTTGTTGCAGCAGGATTCTGGGAGGGGACAAGATTTATCTTTCTCTGGGACACTTCTTAAGGGTATATTACCTTTCCTGTGTAAGTGTTTTGCAGGCCAACAGAAGAAATGACAGGGATTCCAAACATAAACGTTGGACTAAACAGAGAGCCCTCCACCAGGTTAAGGTAGGAGGAGAGTGCTGTGGGGGAAACTGAACGATTCCCCCTGCACATGGGGAGAGATTGGTAGGTGAAAAGGTTTTCTTGCTTTAGTGAAGGGCACAGTATAGTCCAGTGACTCGAGTAAATTGCTTAAGATGAAGTTTAGTACACATGAAATGAATTGCAGAATCATAAAAACAAGACTGGATGGGACTTTATGGAGATCATCTAATTCAACCCCTTGCTCAAGCAGGATCATCCCACTCAGCCATAAGTCTTCTGTTCTTTTAAGAGATGTTTTGGCAGCTGACAGCTTTCTTTCTTTCTCTGTTGAATAAAAAACTGAAGTTAGTTGAAAACTGTATCCTTCTTTTCCAGGAAATGTTTTTGTATCTTACAAGTGAGCTGAAGAAGTTGGCAGAAATCCACAATGAGAGACTGTTGGATACACCACACAACCCTATTTCATTAGGTAATTGCTGTCGGTATTTGCAATTAGATATAGTTTTTCTGATACTATCTTGTACACATGTGTAGACCTAGTTCACCCCTCCATTAAACCAAGCTGAAGCCAATGTGAGTTCATTGAACTCAATGGAATTACATTAGTCAAACAGTGGAGAAATGCAGAGGTGACTCAGATCCTGTGTATATATACAGACCTGCTCTTGACCAAAATATATGTGGTTTCATCAATGGAATATAAAGGCTGACACAGTCTTTAATCATATGTTATAAAGAAAACAGTTTATAGTTTGGGGCTGATTCTCAGTAAAACAGATTACTATTGAGTCCCTCCATTTATTTAGGATTTTTGTTATAAACACTAACTCTGCTAAACATTGAAAAGTAAAACTTCTCCATGCATTACCTTGGCCATGTGCACAATTTAACCATATAAATAAACAATTACATGGAGTGGAGTAGAAAACTAAAAAGGAAGTACTATAAGAATGCACATTATAATTATATTTTAATACAAATACTTAATCAGGTCTCCATTATGAAGTAAAATATGCCATCAGTGGTTTGTTCTTGGTGAAAAAAGTGCTTTTTTACAATTTTTATAACAAAGCTGTTTATGTCTGCAGCCATGTCGCTAAAGAACCTAGAGGAACACAGTGACACTGCTGTTACACAACTTGGATCTATGCTTTTTACAAGACAAGTTTCTGGAGCTAGGTGAGCATTTGAAACTTTAAAATTTTCTCAGCTGACCAGGTTTGAATTGAATACCAACAGAGAGGGAAAAACCTCAAGTTAAATTTATCTTGTTGTTATCTTCCGCACCACCTCCACACACACACTGGAGAGTATGTAATATGGCCCCTTGATCAGTGTAAGTATTACCCAAGCATGGAAGGGAAAAAAGGTGGTTTCCTTCCTATCTTCAGGTGGCTCAACCCAACCCATTTACTTGTATGCATCTGCTGTTATGCAGTTTGTTTCTGCTTAATATTTCAAGTGATGCCTTGTGTAACTTATCCTTTTCAAGTGCCTGGGGTTTTAGACAGCAAGCAGCTTGTGGCAGGGACTGTCTCTTTATTCTGCATTTGTACAGCACTTAGCACAGTTTTGCCCTAGATCTGGAGAACCCATTGTTAAGCTTTACTATCTTGCATTGCTTTTTGAAAGACAACCTGCTTTCCAGAACTGCCTGTGCTAGAGGGACCTACAACCTGAGCTAATTTCAGATGAATTTACTCTTAAAAATACTTGAATGTAGCAAGGGAAATGCAGGACAAATCATTTTTAATGGTTTCAGTTTAAGCCCTTTAGAAGAAGAACATGATCTAAAATTTGTTTTGGCAGAATTCCTTAATCTGAATATTGCTGCCGCCACACTAGCTTCTGCTACAGAGGTAATGTCATTTTCTCCAGCAGAGCTGAATGTTTCCACATCACAGGCCATGCTTCATTAGTTTGGATTATTCCACTTCCTTCACAGATGAACAACAGTAAATCTATGTGTACTGCAGTCTAATGCTGTTCTTGTTTTGCCTGACCCCAACCTTCACTTGTCCTGCTCCTCCAGTCATTTTTGGGTAGACTGGACTCAACAGATTCCAGATTTGAGAAGTTACAGGTCTCCAGTATATTGTTTCATCAAGTTCAAAGGTTCTATTCCAGTGTTTCCTGTTCATCCGAGGCTATTGACGTGAACTTTTTTATAACTTACAGAAGGGGTGTCAAACTCACCTGGGGCCCCAGGCTGAATCTGGATCATGGGGCACTTCACAAACCTGAACGAGCCCAAGGCACCTAGTAGGCCGCTATGACCACCTCAGTGGTGGCAGGCAGGTATAGTAGCAGCAGGGAGATTCAGCCATAGCAGTGGGTCTTGGGAGTTTGCCAGTGGCAGGAGGGGCTTGGGGGCAGCTGCAACAATGAACAAAGCTCACCACCAAAGCCAGCAAGTCCAAAAGTACTACTGAATTCTGTAGTAGGCTATACCATGCCGCAGCTTCTGGTGGCCCACCAGTAAAATAGTGAGCCTGGTAGAGAGGCTCTGCAAACCAAATTCAGTCCACAGGCTGTATGACACCCCTGACTTACAGGTATATTATACACAAAAAGTGTTTGTAAAATTATCTCAAAATGGTGTATTATCTGTAAGCAGCTCTGGGCATTTTAAACTGACCTGTGATTATTTGTTTCAGGGTGGTTCCCCGAAGTTTTCAGCAAACAGTGAATAACTATACATTCAAAGGCTTTATGTCACATACAAATAACTACCCTTGTGCTTACCTCAATGCTGCTTCAGCAATTGGCATGAAAAAGCAAGATGTGGACATGTTCCTTAAAAGACTCGATAAGTGTTTGAAGACTTTTGGAAAAGAAACAAACAAAGGAAAAGACGTGCCTAAAACAAATGATTGTAATGCAGATCTAGTCAAGGGAGAACCAGAAGAACCAAACAAGATGTAGATTTTGGAACTTAGTGTAATTTATTCCTGCAAGATGTCAAGTTTGTATCATATTGCATTATGAATCTTCAGTTCTGGGAATTAGAAATTTAACCCTTGTTAAAAAACATCTTGGATAAAATTCATATTAAAAATATTGTTGGAAGATAGTCACTTCCCTGTGCATAGAGGCCCAGCCACTAGGCTTCTGCATCACCACTTATGCCGTCAAAATAGACTTTATTTTGGCACTCTCCTTGAGGCCAAATTTGAATTGGAATTGGAGAAGTACCTGAAGAAAGAATCAATGAATAGTGAGGAATATTTTAAACTGAATTTTCTGTGGTGGTATTTGCACTACTGGTTTATATGGAAGCCTTTTATTAATTTCATCAAATGTCTATTGAATGAGGGCATTCCCGTATTTATACTGATTAATTCATGACGGCCATGTACAGCCAGTCCCCACTGAATCTTTGTGTGAATGAGAGGAGAGTTGGGTATTAAATAGCATTTAAAAAAATGCAAGGAAGTGAGGCAGCTCAAAGTGGTAATTTCTTATGATCTCTTACCTAGTAATGCTCAGAATAGCTGTAATAGCAGCCACATATTTAAAGTCTGGATAGTTTTCACAGCCAAGGAACTGCAGTGCCTCATGTATTTGATCTCTGCCTTGATAATGGCTCTCCTGTAAGAAAGCAATCAGTGGACCTGAGGCAGGGAGAGATAGTAGTGTCATTGAGCTTTGAGGAGGTTACAGCAGTTAAGAGATCAGCTGGCCCCTGTGGGTGTCCTGGGATGTAAGATGCACTCTAGCACTTGGATAATATGAAGACTTACTTCTGAACCATCTCCTGTAGGTGATGCTATTGCTGCACCAGCTATAGTCTGGCGCTGACTGAATTGGTTAGCCTAGCAAAATATTGGTGTTCTGAAAATGAGGGGCCTGTATCACTGACACGTTGACTGTTGGTTTAAATAGTTGGTTTAGATTAGTAAAGTTTTTAGTTTAATTCCCCTTTTTAATGTAGCATATACAGAGTGGCAGTTGCCAAGTCATTTATTAGCTCAACTCTGCAATATTTCTCTGTCAGTCTGTCATGATGCCTTGGAGCACCACATTTATTTCAGGGAATGTCCTAGATTTTTCATACATGGAGAACCATACACCTTTGTTGACTACTAAATCAAAATATTGGCCCTTTCCTAAAGGTTTGTGTATGTAAAGGAATAAGATAAATAATGAAAATGGGGACATTAGTGCACATAAGCTAAAGTGCATTAGCTCCGTGTGGCTGCTTTCATTCAGAAAAAAGTGGCCTTAGTTCACTATATTTAAGCTTGAAGATTTGCTGCCACTGTTTCACCGCTACTCCTATGTGAGCCAGCTACATGCACCTACTTGTGCTACAGTCACATCTGATATACAGACATATCCTAAGAGATATGTAATACATAGGTTGATCCCTGGTCCTTGTGACTGTAAGCACACTCTCCTACCTTGCGTTTGTCAAGGTCATAGCATACTACAGCCTTCACCACTGCACAAAGCTCTGGCACAGTTTTGAGGTGCAAAAAGATGGCATGGTTCCTGCCGCTATGTTATATGTTGGAGCAGTTAATCAAAACTGCAGAGATTTAGTCAAATCCTCCTCCTGTTCATGAGTCATGGTCATTCATTCAGGGAACAAACAAATTAAAGCTTAGATGAGTATTTCACAGAATTCAAATATTAAACTCTCCTCTATGGTCTCAGGTGGTGTGTGCCAGCAGTTTTACAGACTTAAATAAGCATTTGGTGAATAATATTCCCAAATAAACAATTCAAGAAAAAAAAGAAAATTGCACTTGGCTCAAGGGGTATTAAGAGCAGAAAAACATCTTAAATAAATTGCTTATTGCAAATAATTCACTCAACTCTACTGGTTAATGGATTTGACTAGGTACTGAGCTACCTCTTCTAGTTTAAAATCTTCTGGTTCTCAAGTTATTTTGGATTAGATGAGTTATATTATCTCCTCTATGGAATAACGTGAAACAGGTAAAACTATTCTAATGACTTTTTCATTACCAGTTTGAAAACATCCTCATTTACTCTGTTTTAACCTCCTTGTGGTCCTTCTCCTTTCATACTTGTTAGGAAATAGGGCTTGGGTCTTTGGTCTCTGGTCTTCTTTTATGCACAGTAATTGGGCAGCCACGTAGACATTTTCAGACATCTTCTTTATGGTGATAACATGCAAATCTACTTCACCACTTATGACACCTCTCCTTCTCCAGTCCCAGATCTCAGCAGTCTTTCTTCCTGATATTTCTGTGGCTAAAATTTAGTAACTTATTTTTCATCATCTCTTGCTTTCTTATATTGTCACAGGGATCCCTCTGTAACCCAACTTGTATCCACACTGAACTGATTCTTCCTTCACCACAGCTCAAAATATTGTCCGTTTTGATCTCTACAGATTAGAGCTGGACAGAAAATTATTTCCATCCTATGGGATTGAAAAATTCTGCTGGCAGTTTCTGACAGAAAAACATTTAATCGATTAAAAAGTAACCAATGACTCCAATATATATATCAACACTTGTCTGCATCCTGCTTATTTCCTCTGTTCATTACTGTGACCTTTCCAGTGTCCAGATACTGAAATTGTTCACCAAAATGAGAATGTTAAATGATCTTTTGCTTTTAATCTGCTGTCATTCTTTCATCCTTAAAGTCCCTCCACTAGCTCCTTCCCTACTTCTTCAGATTTAAATTACTTTTACCTTTTCTACTTAATGCTAGTGATGCCTATATCCAACTTGTACCTCATCTTGAAGAATTCCTGTGTAAGTTTATGTATGAAAGTAGTTCCATTAAAGAGATGTGTAATTACCATATTTATTTGAATACAAAACAAGGTGTTTCTCCAAACAGCAAAGCCCTTCATCTTACATCTGAATACAAGAAAACCTTATTAGATAAATTGTCTATTAGTAAACTGCTGCTAAAAACAGCATGTGCTCAGTAATAGAAACCAACTATTACCAACTGATGCAACCAACACCTAAGCATAACTGAAACAAATGGCCCATATTGGGAAAACATGCTTTTTTTTTTTTTTTAAATAATATATTTCATGTTCCAGGTCAAATTAGCCAAATCCATTCCAAGTCATATCGATTGAGCAGAACTCAGTCGTTCCAAAAGCCATATCAGCTGAGCAGGCAGAACTCAGTCTTTCTAAACACCACATATGGTGCTATAACCAGTGAGCATCCTTCACCTGAGACCTATCACCCTGGGACTTCAGATACTTCCAAATCCATTGGCAGGCATCCTATGTGCAGGACCAAGCTCGGAAGTCTTTGATTTTGGATGCCCCCAGATATTAGAAGCAAGCATCCTCCATCCCAGACTCTTTAGTTCGGCACTTCAGATACTCCCTACACTCAGCTTTAGCCCACAAGAGGCCAAGAAGCAATATTGGACAAACATGCAAGGATAGATTGATGCACTCCATCTGAATAAAATAGTGCCTTTTGAGTACAGTCCCCCTCAGTGCCGACTTTTTTTCAATTCAGGATGAGCCACTACAGTGCATATGTTTTGACTCCCTCTTCACTCCCACAGCTGAGCTGCACATTTCTTTTCCATTTCCAATTAGTGCTGTTTCTTCAGTAGCCAAAATGTCTGGCAAACATCACCAAATGGGGCCCCAAACAGTTTACCCAGTATCCCTGTGTCAGCCCTCAGCCTGGCATGGGATTAGTTTGCCCTTTATGAGGTAGAGCTGGACCAGGTTGTCCTGTGTCTTTTCTGCATATAAATCTTTGGAGCAGAACTCCAATCCCAGGACTCATGACAAAAACACCCAGTTGTAGTCATAAGTGGAAGCTAATTGGCACATTGATCCTTTGTTGGTGGTGTCTGGAATATACACACAGACTGAGCAATGCTGAGACATGGGGTCACCATAGCTTGAAATGCTGTTGACTCTGATGTGGCCCAGCCCAGTGAACTATATGGTAAATCTTGAGCTTTTAGCTTTGGACTAATACAATGCATAGTTCATAGGCTCAGATCAAGTATAGTGGCTTCTTAACCTCGCAGGGTAAATATCATGTCTCTGTGTCCATGAAGACACTCCTCCTGAACTGCACTGCAGGAGAGTTGCTCATCTGGCATGGTTCAGTACCTGCTGAGGTGCAGTGGCTTTAAACCTAGTTTATGGAAATGGGAGTCTCCTCCCTTGTTTGCTTTGATGGCCTTATGGCTAAGGCCATAGCAAGGGCAAGCAAAACTTGGGGGCATCCGAACCCCAAGCCTCTGGGCTTGGGACTGCAAGTAGGATGCCCACCAAAGGTTTTGGAAACATCTGAAACCCCAGGTTTGGGTAGAGGATGTTTACCGGTAACAGGACCACTTATGGTTCTGGACTCTTGGATTTAGAATTAGGTTTGGCTAATTTAGCCTTGAATACAAATTATATATATATAATGTGTAAATCACTACAACTATGATTAATTTCAAAGTCAGTTGTTCAAATTTGTACCTCCTTTCCTCTGCTGAGGGAGAGCAGGGTCTAAGAGTAAGGAAGGATCTGCAGAGCAGGAAAAGTTGGAGTGAGGCAGAGTGCAAACGGGTTACCTGACCCATTAGATTAATTTTCCCTGTTGTAACAGTGGGAGGGGGGGAATTCAAGGCAAGCCTCCAATAATTAGATTCTATACCTAATAAATTTATACATTTTCCATATGTAGAAACTAATTATTGAGGGGGGTCCTCTTATAATCAGGGTTGTCTTATCTTTGAGTAAGTACGGTAGTTTTTTCAGAATTGTGCTTTTACTGCATGGCCTACTGATTCTTCTCCGCCAGGCTTTGTGCCCTATCTGTCCCCTTTTCCATCATCCCTTTTCTCCCACACCAGTCATTTTCAATTGAATACCCTCTAGTGCCTACTACTCTCTTTTATGGCTCACTTCACACATTTCAGCAATGCATCTAACCAAATAATTGATTTGAATTTTTTTTACAAAACGTGTGCTTGAGCCTTGTACTAAATACCCATGAGATCCTACTTCTAGAATTTGTTCTTCATCTTGCAGTCTCACTCACTTCCTGTGTCACCATTTATTATGTTGTATTCTAATTTAAATTCAGCTATTGGGGGCACAGACTTTGCCTAATTTAATAAGAACTTGTTACCTAGGCTTGCTTGGAAAATGAAATTTTATATAAACAATCCAAAACACAATGTATTGTTAACAGAAATAAATGGAAAAGAATTACCAAACCTTTTATGTTTGTTATTTTGTGATAGGGTTCTATAAACAGTGTTTGTTTAATAGGATGTTTTTAATGGAAGATTGCAAAGCTGTTGATATTTACATTTCTAAATATAAATAATATTTATAACATTTCATTACTTTTTCGGAAGGTATAGTTACTAATTGTTTGTATGTTTTCCTTCTGTAATCAAAGAAAGAGAATGTTCCTCAAGTCCATGGGAAGTCCTTCCCGCTAGAAGTGATACAACCAATAACAAGTGGTGATGCAAGGTAGAAACTAAGTAAATTGTTTGGAGTGGGGGTGGACATTTGTTTTGGCTGAACAAAAGAGGACCTGTTGAGGGCCACATCCATCTCTCTGTCCCTTCCCTTCCCTCTCCTTCTCTCTCCATGACCAGACTGGAACTGTAGTTTGCTAGCAGCCCTGAATCTCATCTGTAGACCCAGACCGGGACTTCCATTGCAGCCAAGCCTCGATGCGGAACCTGCTAGTGGTGTCACAGCTGACATCTGCCCAGCGCAGCATAAGCTCCTCTCTGGGTCCACTGCTAATGCTGCCAGCAGGTTCTGGGCCAGGGCTCTGGGCGGGAGCTTCCGTTGCCATGGGAAGGCGGTGGCATCAGTTGTTGACGCTTCCAGCAAGTTTTGTTTCAGGGCTCCTGAGCCTGCCAGCAGCATCCAGAGCTGATGCTTCTACCTGCGTGCTGTGGCAGACGCCCTTTCAGGTCCACAGCTGATGCCACCACATCACAGGCTGTTGCTGCTGGGCAGAAGCAGTTCCACTTACCTGCCCGGCACCACATGATAGCTGTGCATCCACAGACCGGATTGAATCTGCTGGCGGGCCATATTTTGCCTATGCCTCTTTTGGAGGCAAAGTGAGAGGAAGATGTTGACAACAGCTGCCTTTTCTGTTTTCTCAGGTACTACAGAGAAGTGAGAAGATGCCAAACAAAAATGTACTTATTTGCACAACTGTGCTTCTAGCACTCAGCTACTTATTCAGCTACTGCTCTCCATGTCTTCAGACTGGATTCCTGAATACCCTCAAAATCTGACAAGACTGATCATTGACATGGAGACTTCCAATACTGGTACCTTCAGTGTCACCGTTCCAGTACCAATAACTTCCATTTGTGTACTAGCAGACATGGTACCAAAATTCTACCTAACATACATCAGCTTTATGGTCTCCTCCTTACTGGGCTTGTCTTCTTTAATATCAAATACTAATGGCCTAACCAGCTGGAAGAGTACTTATTCTTCTTAGATTCTGACAGAGGTGAGGTGCCACCCCTTAGAACTGTCACTAGCTCATTCCTTGAGGATGTGAGTACACACTATACTGTACTGATAGAGTTAATGGGTCCACATTTAAGACTAGTTACATGCTCCTTCTTCCTTAAAAATATTTTTTCTAATAGCATTTAGTTATGCAAGGAGAGTAAAGATACAAGCTCTGATGACAGGACTGTTGCACATTATTCTCAAAGACAGTAACTGTGAGATCTTACGTAAAGTTCTGGCTGAAGATAATCTCTGACATTCATCTCAGCCAGGCAATGTGTTTGACTCTTTTCCAAAGCCACATTTCAGCAAAGGGGAGGTGAACCTTCACACCCTAGATGTTCTTAGAGTGCCCTCCTTCTGCCTGAATAGGACCAAACCATTCAGGTTACCCCCTATTATTTGAAATTTATGGTGTAGAATGAAATGTCAAGCTTATAAACATAGAGATTTATCATGGCTACATTAATACGTGATCTGAAGTACTCAGCAGTCTGAATTGGGTATATCTGTTCAAGCAGTTTCTGTACCTCATCTGATAAATGTTTTAATACCAGAGAGATGCAGGACAGTGCTTGTGTTCATACACTGATATGCCATAATAAACTCGAGAGGCTCATCTTTATTGAGATAAAACCCTAGCATCCACCTTCTGTGATCTAGGTCACTGACTGTGAGTCACCAGCAGTGGAATATATATGGACAAGTACTCAGAGAGAAGAAGCAGTTATTTATCCTGGGGAGGAAGAACCAGCACATACCTACAGGCTGGGGAACTCCTTTCTCATCAGCACAGAGGCAGAAAAGGATCTTGGAGTCATCATTGATGCCAAGATGAACATGGGCCGGCAGTGTGGGGATGCAGTCAGGACAGCCAACCACACCTTGTCATGCATCCACAGATGCATCTTGAGCAGGTCCAAGGAGGTGATCTTCCCCATCTGTGCAGCACTGGTTAGGCCGCAGCTGGAGTACTGTGTCCAGTTCAGGGTGCCGCACTTCAAGAGGGACGTGGACAGCATGGAGAGGGTCCAGAGGCAGGCCACTCGCATGATCAGGGCAACACGGCAGGCCCTACGAGGAGAGGTTAAGGGATCTGAACCTGTTCAGCCTCCATAAGAGAAGGCTGAAGGGGGATTTAGTGGCCTGTTACAAACTAGTCAGAGGGGACCAGCAGGTATTGGGGGATTTCCTGTTCCCCCAAGCACTACCAGGAGTGACTAGGAATAACGGTCACAAGCTGGCAGAGGGTAGATTAAGGCTAGATATCAGGAGACACTACTTCATGGTTGGGGTGGCTAGGATCTGGAATCAGCTTCCAAGTGAAGTGGTGCTGGCTCCTACCCTGGGGCTCTAAGAGGAGGCTAGACAAACACCTTGCTGGGGTTGTTTGACCCCAGTACTCTTTCCTGCCATGACTCGATGATCTGCTCAGGTCCCTTCTGACCCTACAAACTATGAAACTATCTCACAGTAACCAGTTCTTCAGAATATGCATAACGTGTCCTCCTTCCCCACTACAGCAGAGCCCTTTAACATCTGAACCTTTAACACAAGAACAAGGAGCAGTGGTCTCAAGTTGCAGCAAGGGAAGTTTAGGTTAGATATTAGGAAGAACTTTCTCACTAGGAGGGTAGTTAGGCACTGGAACAGGTTACCCAGAGAGGCAGTGGACTCTTCATCCTTGAGGTTAAGACCCAGCTAGACAAAGCCTTGGCTGGGATAATATAGTTGGGGACAGTCCTGCTTCGGACTAGTTGACTTCATGAGGTCCCTTCCTACCTTGATTTTCTCTGATTGTATGGATTCTGTAGGGGCAAAGGAATTAAGGGACAGTTTAGTTTTGTCCCATCCTATACTGTCTCATGTGGAGGCACAAGGACATTCAAGGCACAGGCATGGTCCCAGGTGCATATGACTGGCCTGTTGAATCAACTTGTGGACAGGGTGTTTATAAACTGACAGCTGAATTGTGACAGTTGAATATTCATGGGACACACATCTCAAAGAAGGCCTGTTAGTGTAAAGTAACTGCTTCTTTGCATCTGAGAGAAACAAAACTGAGATCCATTTGTGCTGTAATCCCTTATCTGTTCACACTTTGAAATGACTGCCCAAGATACAGAGCAAATAAAACCAACCAGATGCAGCAAAATCTCTCAAGCTTAAGAAAGCAAAAATATAATGTTGCAAATGTAAATGCTGGCATTGCAGCTTAATACACATATAAGCCAAGCAATCTATATTGTGGGATCATCATTTTTTAAGAAAGACTGGAGCTCAGAGACTAGCAAATGTTCTCATCTGCAGTGTATCAGCAATTCTCAGTCTTCAGCTGGTGTATAGATAATAATTCTAATTGAAGAATCATTACATGAATCCATATGTGAATGATAGATGGGTTATAGCCTTTTGTTCACGATGCTCTGAGTTGCTGTTTTCGCTTTTTAAAGGGGTCTCTAGATTTCCTCTTAACGCAATATTTTAATGGCCCTAGCTTGAGGGGCTTTGGAATTTAAAGTAAAAACAGATAACATAGGAGGCAATTGTTTGTTGTTGTTTTTTTTAAACAATGCTCATTAAAGACTTGAATTGATAACAAATTGGGTGTGGAATGCACGCTTTCAAATTCGCTGACAACACCAAGTTGTGGGGCGAGGTAGGCACACTGGAGGGGAGGGGAGGGACAGAATCCAGCTAGATCTAGACAAATTACCGAGGTGGGCGGATGAGAATCGGATGGAATTCAGTGCAGACGAGTGCAGGGTACTGCATCTAGGGAGACAGAACCTGCAACACACCTATAGGCTGGGGAACACCCTTCTCAACAACAGTGGCAGAAAGGGATCTTGGAGTCATTGTTGACTCCAGGATGAACATGAGCTGCCAATGCGAGGAAGCAGTCAGTAAGGCTAACCGCACCTTGTCGTGCATCTACAGATGCATCACTAGCAGGTCCAGGGAGGTGATCCTTCCCCTCTATAAGGCATTGATCAGGCTACAGTTGGAGTACTGTGTCTTGTTCTGGGTGCTGCACTTCAAGAGGGATGTGGCTAACCTTGAGAGGGTTCAGAGGAGGGCTACTTGCATGGTCAAGGGGCAGCAGGGCAGGCCCTACGAGGGATCTGGTGGCCATTTACAAACTCAATGGGGGGACCAGTGGGAATTGGGGGAGGCTCTATTCCCCCAGGCACCACCCGAGGTTACTAGGAATAATGGCCACAAATTTTAGAGAGAAGGTTTAGGCTGGAGACATAACTTTACAGCTAGGGCTGCCAGGCTTTGGAACGGGCTCCCAAGTGAGGTGCTACTCTCTTCTACCTTGGGGGTCTTCAAGAGAAGGCTGGACAGATATTTGGCTGGGGTGATATGACCCTGCACTCGTTCCTGCCCGGAGTAGGGGGTTGGACCTGATGATCTGTTTAGGTCCCTTCCAACCCTAAGCACTATGATACTATGAAAAAAACTGTCCTCTGGGATGGCCTTTTGTTCGGATGTTGGTAAATGTCACACCAATCGTTGAAAAGCTGTACTTTGTAAAAAATACTGCTTTTCATAGCTGTAGAAAAGTTTTCTTGTAGATTACACTGAGAACATATAAGAGGGTACTTAAAGAATTTAAAAATCACTCTATCTCGCCCTCAACTTCCTATCCAATGGTTGTCATGCCAACATAGTAATATATATGCAGTCATAGAAAGTTAGGGTTGGAAAGGAC